AAACGCCATGACACGAAACTAATATTTGTTTACGAACGCGTTTTCAGAGCCAAGGATCATGGGTTGCCCCAGCCAGGGCTTCAACAGAGCTCGAGAGGGCCCCTGGCCCACTTGCACCACCGCCGTCGCCCGCCCACACCGTCTCCAGTGAGGACGGGTTAGCTGATGTAAGTTGCTATGACGTCCACCTCAACATCATCTGTGTGGTGCAGTTTCTTACAAAAAACGTTTATTTTGTTCCAGTATCACCTAATGTTGCGCAGGGCATCGCCCTTGCCCCACCAATTGCTATGGAGGCCCCCGACACCCTACCCCGAGCGGGATATGGAGGATCCTGCTGTGAACCTTGTTGAGCCCCCTGCAGCCCTTCCGGCTCCTTATCTTATCCCCGGGCCAGCCGTAATCCACGAGGAGGAGCCACAAGTCGCTCCTCTTGACCTCACTACACCACCTATCGTCATAGACATCTCAGACGACGAGGTTAGTTTCAACACACACCTTTTCTTTAATGCCATAGTCCAGTGGAGAGACGAGTGTCTAAGCAAATGTGATTGTTACAGGATGATGAGCCCCAGGCCCAGTCACAAGACCCCGCGGCCGCCGTGGCCTACTGGCCTCCTTGGCATCACCCGGAGCCACAACATGAGCCAATAGACCTGAGGGAAAGGATAGACCAGCTTCGTGCGGTGAGAGAGGGTGCACCCCAACCACCACGACTTCAGCCATGGCGCTCTCAGGCTCCCGCATCAGGGCGGGTAGCCATTGTGGTATGTACATTTCCTCTCTCTTAATGTAAACTTATATTGAGTATCATTCGGCTTACTAACACAGTTCTTTTTTGTTTCAGATTCCACTACCCAAGAACAAATAGTTCTACTGTTTTTTTAGTTTTATTTTTAAGACAAACTCTTTCCGCACTTCAGGCGAAGGGGGGATTGTTAAATGAAACATAGGAAAATTTGCCATTTTAGTTTTATTTTTTTGAAAAAAAATAAAATCAGGATAGCAAATTTTCCTATGTTTCATTTATCAATCCACCCTTCGCTTGAAGTGCAGAAAGAGTTTGTCTTAATGCTGAGCAGTCACTTATATGTAATTTAAACTTTGCTTTTGTTTTTTACACACAAAACAATGTTTTCTATTATAGAATCACAATTAAGTTGTGAGAAATTATTTGAAGTCTTAGACGACACAATTTTTTAAGTATGATCATCACGATTTGGTTTGACGATTGGATTTGAGGTGAAGAGAGGTCACCTACACTTAGTGAATAGTGGTATGCAACCATTTTCATCTCTATATTACTAAAACTTAAAGAAATAATGAACACTTTTTAGGGTTTTAATGTTATATTAGTTTTTATTTGAAGTCTTAGACGACACAATTTTTTAAGTATGATCATCACGATTTGGTTTGACGATTGGATTTGAGGTGAAGAGAGGTCACCTACACTTGGTGAA